TGTCTCTCTGTATCTCTGCGCATGTTTCTCACACTCTCTCTCTCTTAGTGCCTGTCTGTCTGTCTGTCCCCTCCCTCTTTCCACACTGAGTTCAGGAGGCTTGCTCATTCACAATGGTCCCACCTGGCCCCAGAATCACAGTGAGGGGACATCAGAGTCCTCTTTCTCTGGCTCCTGAGAGCCACAGATGAGATAGGCATGGATGGAACCTGGCATCCATGTGCCCTTCCTGGCATTGGAATACCCACATAATCCCCTTCCTGGGCCAGCACTGAGAAGATTCCCATGAAATGGCTGGAGGCCCTTCATGGGTCACCACAGTGGAGACACTATAGGTGGCCAGGAATAAACTGCCTCTCGTAGGCCTTGGCAGTCACATACCACTATAGTGCACGACACACTCACTGCCACCAAAGCCCCACATTGCTGTGCTCCAATATCCATGGCCACTGATGCAGTCCCCGTGGACACATGAGAAGCACCACACACAGACACATGTCATCACAACCTTACAGATCTCATGTGACACACAGGAACATTCATGGAGCTACTGATAACCTCCAGTGCACACTCACAGCCAATCTGGGCCACATGACTTGGTGTGGGGCAGGTTCCAGCCTGGGGTGGTGTATGGCATTTGGAGACCATCAAGGAGGTGACTAGCATTTGCCAAACACCTGGCCAGTTGCTGACCCAAGTCCCCCCTTTCTTGCAGTCTGGTGGGGCTGGGATAGCCCTGAAGTGAAGATCTGTCCAGGGAGGGTCCTGGAGCCTCAGTGTAACCCAGGGGATGGGGAAAGGGAATAAGAGACTTCAGCCATCAAGGACCATAAGCATAGCCCCATACATGGGTGCCATGAGTGATTTCTGACCAGGTCCAATGTGAATCACTGACCCCTAAACAGCCATCACCCCTGTATAGTCCCTTCTTGGGACACATAGGACTCCCTCAATGTCACACCCTATCCACAACTTCTTGAACTCCCCCCCCCACTGCCTCCACCTCCTCTGTTGACATAGGATCTCACTCTATAGCCCTGGCTGTCCAGGAACTCACTCTGTAGACCAGGCTGGCCTCGAACTCACAGATGTCTGCTTGCCTCTGCCTCCTGAGTGCTGGGATTAAAGATGTGTGCTATTAACCACATCCAGTCTTGCAAGCTCCCTACACCCACTGGGAGGCCTCTGAGTCTCCTGGCATGTCTCAGTTCTATCAGTTCTATCAAGGAGAAAGAGACAGAAAGCTGGGGTGGACATGGGGAAGGTTTGGGTGTGTGTGTGGGGTCATCGATCCTGTACGTAGCCATATCTGTTCACCCTAATTGAGACACCTGACCTAGCTTTGTTTGCGCAGTCTTGGCTCTTCCCACTCTGCCCAGGGGGGAGCTCCCAAGCTCCACTGTCTGCACAGGGTACCCCCAGCTTCTTACACATGCACCCCACATAGGTACACCCTCATACCCCAGAGTTTTGCGAGCTGCATACTCCATCTTCCCAAGGGGAATCTAAGCCCTGCAAGGACCCCAGCTCACCGAGTTCCAGCCTTCCAGCTGAGCAGGGCTTAAGCTGCAGCAGACACCCAGACACCTAGGAGCCAGAGCTGAACTGGGCCGGCAAGGAGGGGCAGGGCTTACCACAGGTGGGAGTTACCTACCCAGGGCACCACCCTCACAAATGGCCACACACCCCAATCACCTTCTCCTGAGGTCAGGGACTGCAGGTGGCTCCTGTCCACACCTGCAGGAAGGGGACATGGGATCAAGTGGGGGGCGGGCCTGACCACAAGGGAGGGTCCCTGATTGGCTAGGTGGGCTGTGTGTGAAGTTGGTTCCACAGGCAGCTGAGGCCCCTGGGCAGGGGAATTGGACAGAGGCTCAAGCCTGAGGACTCAGGGGCCTCTTAGGGAGCAGGAGGAAGTCAGCTGAGTGTATACATGTGATGTAGGGGTTCTGAGATTTCCCTTCCTCCCTTCCTCTCTCCCTCCCTCTTCTTTCTTCCTTCTTTTCTTCCCCCTCTTTCTTTCCTTTCCTTTCTTCTGGTAGGGTCTCAAATCGTCCCTATACTGTGGCTAGAACCCACACTTCCCTGCATGCCAGGTGAACTCTCTGCCAACTGAGCACTCTAAATTGGTTTATTGTTTGTTTGAGGCAGGGTCTCATGTAGCCTTGGCTGTCCTGGAACTCACACTGTTGACTAGGCTGGCCTTGAACTCACAGAGATCCACTTGTCTCTGCCTCATGAGTGCTGGGATTAAAGGCGTGCACCGCCATACCCAGGTTATGTCTGTTTTATAGAAATATAGCTATAAGTGGTTGAGTGTCTCCCACCATGGGTGCTGGCACACACTTAGGTGAAATCTCATCCTCTGGAAAAGCAGCAAGCACTCTTAGCCCTGAGCCATGCCCCCACCCATCTGTCTCTGGCCTGTTTGTTTTGGGATTCCCTCCCAGGCTGGAAGCACAGGAGGGCAGCCACATGCATCCAGCATTTACATGGGTTCTGGGGATCTGAACTTTGGTCTTTGCACTTGTACATTATGAGTGTTTGACTGCCGAGCACTGCCCCCCCCCCAGGACCATTTCCTGAATGGATTGATGGCAACATATTTGTACATTCTCTTATGGTTTATTTGGGAGGAATGGCTGCAAGCCATAAGGAGCCGTGTACAGGGCTAGTGCAGGGGCACCCCTGAAGCCTCAGCTGGGTGGGGTGTCACCTGACCTCCACTCCACTCGACTCCCAGCCTCAAACCCTATGCACTCTAGCTCTGACCTACCTGTCCCATGTCCCCTACCACCTGCAGAGTGATTCAGCTGATGGATGAGATGCTGTGTTTACCAGACAGGGCTCAGGATTGCCCTGGTATCTGTGTTCCTTCCAGACAGGGAAGGTGTATCCTGCCAAAGACCTGGCATGAGCTGGACTCCAAACCCCATTCTCTCCAAGGTGCCTCCAGTCTGCAGGGAGGTGTCGGCTCACTTCACAGGGACAGGGTGAGGATTCTTGTGGCTACACTCCTCACTTGAGAACCCAATGCCCTTGATTATAGCCCACCAGACCTTGCCAATAGGAAATGAGTTCCCTGACTCCTGCCATACTCAAGGCTGCTGACATCCATCTCTAGCGGGGTACCCAACATTCAGACTCCTCCTGTGTCCCTTACACATTGGGGACCTTAATCCAACAGGCACATTCCTCCAGACAGCCTGCCCTAACACCAGTCCCTCAATTCAGAGCCGGGGCATCTCCTGTGCTGAGCTGAAACCTCTGGACCAGGGCTGCATTTTGCTTCACCAGGCTGAGCCATTTGGGGCAGAAAAAGTCTAGGATTCTCCCATGACATATTTGCAACCCTAGTAGTGCCTGTGATGGAGGTGCTCTGTGGGATGGGTGTGTGGAAGGACAGATGGACATCCATCTGCATGTGTGCATTAGCAGGTAGGTGGATGGATGAATGATGCATGCTTGTAGGTATGGATGGTAGTTAGGTTCTGGATGGCAAGGGAGAATGGGTGGCAGCATTTACGCTTTGGCTGTCTCAGTGTGAGGACATCCTTTGTTGGTCACTAGTTTGTTCTTAGTACCCACCACTCACACAGAGTTACTTCCTCACCCCTGCAGCTGGCTCCCTTTTCCCTCCCCAGGCACCCACTAGCCCTAGCACCTTCCAAACAGGGCAGAGGCTGTGGGTGGGCCATTACATCTACCTGCACCCAGCTGTGCAGCCCTCCATGCCTGAACTCATTTCTGGGCAGCAACATTTCCAAGCACCTGCTGGATACTGTTGTTGAGCCCACTGGGTCCAGTCTGTGCCTTGGTCCAATGTTGAACTGCTTTAGCACTGAGCAAATGAGTAAGGGCACATGCTCCATCCTGAGCTTATGCACGGAAGGTTAGGTTAGAACCCAAGTACTGGACCAGCAAGATGGCTGTGTGTGCATAAGTGCTTGCCAGCAAGCCTGATAACCCAAGTTTGATCCTCAACCAACTCCAAATGGAGGTCCCCAAAGAACCTAATTTTTTTTTTTTCCATTTTTGAAGCAGTCTATGTAGGCCAAGTGGACTTTGAATTCATAGGGATATTTTGCTAGAGGTGACCTCTAACTCATGACGACCCCCCCCCCAGTACTGGCATGGCAGCTATGTGTCACCGTATTCCAGGTACCCAGTGCTGGCAATGGAACCCAGAACTTTGTTCATGGGAGAGAACACTATCCAGTTAGACCTAGCCCTGGTCCTCCCACCACCATGGTTCCATGTGACCCAGCTCCTACCACCACGTGTCCTGTGGTTCCATGTGCCTTATATCCCGAGCCCCAAAGCTTCAACTTAGGCATTTTTAAATTAAAATTTTAATTATGGCCAGATGTGGTACATGCCTTTAATCCCAGCATTTAGAATGCAGAGGCAGGTGGATCTATGTGAGTTTTAGGCCAGCATGGTCTACAGAGGGAGTTCTAGGACATAAAGGGCTACACAGAGAAACCCTGCCCCCCATAAAAATTTAAATTAAGTGTGTATGTCTGTGCATGTGTGGGTTCTCCAGAGCTATTTACAAGCCACTGGGAGCCTCCACCTGCCTAGACCCTCACAAAGAGCTTCGAGCACTAACCGCAGGTCCTGGGGCTGTATCCTTTTTCTGTTTCTTTTTTTAAGACAGACCCTCACTATAAAGTGCTGCCTGGCCTGGAACCTGCCATATAGACCAAGCTGGCCATGAACTCAAAAGATGCACCTGTCTGTGTGTGTGCCACCAACCTGGCTGAGGCTATGCAACTGGCAGCAAGGCTCAGTGGGAGGTTGGGGACCATACACATCTGTGGTCCCCATACAGCTAAGAGACACCCTTTCTGCCAACGAAATCAGGGCATTATGGGGACAGGAGGTGAGGAGAGTCTGGATCCATGGGCTGTGGCCACTCCATGCCTGTCAGGACCACTGAGGGATCTACACCAGGGCACTCAGGTGTCCTGACAAGACCTTGAGGGACAGGGCCAAGATGAGTATGAAAAGCTGTTTAATCCCCTGACAACCAAAGGCCAGGGCCCTCAGGTGGCACTGCCCAAAGCCCTTCTAACCAGCTCAGATGGAGGAACCGCTTGGACACCCAGTACGAAATGGCTTAAGTTAAGGCGCAGCCCAAGTGGCAAAGCAGGTGGCTGGGCCCCAGTGCTCCTGTCTCTGTCCACTCTAGGACAGGGGTGCCTATGGGAAGTCGTCATCCTCCCCGCTCCCTCCCCAAAGCTCTAGAAGGACTGGCCAGTTGCCACTGCCTGTCAACCTGCAGCAGACACACTTTCCAAGCAAGTGTGAGTGGACACAGGTCCCAGGCTCCATCAAGGGTGTGAGGACCGGCCTCTGCCTTGTTGACATGCAGCATGTGTAGTGGGCTCCCTGCAGGCATATCTATCATGGAGTCCAGAGCCTGGCTGGTGAGGTAGAGGACAGATGCCAGGTCCAGAAGCCACTGTTGGGGCAGAGAACAGTGGCCATGGCATGGAAGACTTGCACATCTGAGCTGAGGGCTATTTGCCGGGGACATGGACCCATTTATGCATGGCCAATTCCCACTCTTGCTGCAGTCTGCAGGACCTGGAGCAAAAGCCATTTACTGGCTTGGGACAGTGACCAGCATTCTCGAATTCATCTAGGTGTGGACCTCCTGAGGGGTATGGACCCCTCATGACGACTCAGGCCCTTAGGCAGGGTGCCCATATGCTCCGGTCCCACAGAGCCCTGTCCTGTGGAGGAAAGCGTGGCCGGCTGGGACTGCGGGGCAAATGTTGACGAGGCACCAGAGGCAGCAGCCTTGCATGGAGCGGGCAGCAGGTGAAGCTCACAGCCTGGTGCAAAGCGGAATTGGGCGCCGGGGGTGCAGCTGTGGTGGGAGAGGGCTGAGCACCATGTTAGGGAGGGCACCGCGCAGGTCTGCTGCCCAGGAGGGTGGCAGCTGTCCCTGTTCCTTTCAAGTCTCAAGTGGCCAACATCTGTGTGGCATGGAAGGCTGTGAGGGCCCAGCTCTTGTGCCTCCTCTTCCTAGGCTGATGTGCCTGGCTGTACCACAGGGCTGGGCTGGACCTGGTCCCCATTTGTGGGGCTGGATGTGCTGGCCATGGAGCTGTTGGGATCCACAGGAGGGTCTGCAGCTCCTGCCTCCTCAGGCAGGCCTGCCTCCTCAGTGGGCAGAGGTCTCTTGGCCGGCTCTTCACCTGGAGGCTGCTGGGAGAAGGGGGCATCTGAGTCCCTCGGAGGCACAGGCCCCTTGGTTGGGGCCCATGAGGATTGAGGTACATCCTTCTGGAGAGAGGGAGGAAGCTATGAGGCTGGGACAAGTGGGCAACAGACCCCAAGGGGGTAGAACCTAACACAAATGCAGGGTACTTAGAGCAGGAGGCATGCAGCACCATCTAACGCCAGTGCCATCCAGAGCCATCCACAAAGGCTGCAGAGCCCAAGCCTCCAAGGCCCAGGGCAACAAGTCCTGGGAGCAGGCATGTGGGAACCCTGCTCTCCCTCTACTTCTCTCACTCCTCCTTGATGCTCCTCCAGACCCCCTGGAGCAAGCCCACCCACTCCTATGGCCAAATGCACCCTATGGGAACCAGTAGCCCTGAAGCCCAAGAGCAGAAGGCTGGCCCTGAGCAGATTCTCTGCCTACCCCAGCAGCTGCCTCTGTGACACCAAGGAAGTCCTGGAACATGGAGCCCACAGGAAGATGAATCCAAGAAGTAAGGCTCCTCTTGGGGAGCCTTGTGTCATTTACTGCCTGGAGGGGGTGTCGCCTCTCACTCCTTTGCTTTGCAGCCCTCCACCTTATCCTCTACCCTCTCTGGCTGGAACAGGGCCTTACAGGGAGGGCTCTGGCAATCCAGCCTTGGGTCACATCCAGTGAGTTCCCACAGGGAAGGAACCACAAGCCCAAAGTGTGACCTTCCAGAAGCAAGGGACCTGGGCCAGGGGCTCAGTGGGAGCACAGGAGGTTGGACTCAACTTGACCCGCAGCCTTAGGGGCTATCACCGCAGTCATAGCAAACCGGTATTCACCGCAAAGCCGCTGCCCGTCCAGAAGGCACCCAGTTCCTGGCGCCACAGCGCCACGGTGCAGCTCGTCATCAGTGTGCAGGGGACCAGGTAGAGCAGTGCGGGCTGGCCACGCTGCATGAGGACAAGTGCCACAAATGTCACCAGGAGACCCAGGCCGTAGGCTGTAGGGACAGAGTGTCAGACAACCTGCTCCCAGCAGGGGCCAGTGTAAGTGATAAGGGAAACAAGGACAAGGATTTAGGCAGGTGTGAGGTACAAGCTGGCAAGTTGGGACTCCCAGAACTGTGGTAGCTGAGGCAGAAGGATTGTAAACTCCAGGCCAGCTGAGCAACATGAGGCCCAGAGAGAAAGAGCCACAAGTCTGTGCAGGTTAGGGAGGAAGGCAAGTGGCTGTGGGAGCCTGTGTGGGAAAGTACTGCCACTAGTTCTGGGCCAAGCACCTGACCACTCATGCCCAGCCCTACTGGACATTTCCAGCCTAGATGCAGTGGCAAATGGGACTGGGGGGCCTAAGGTGACAGACAAAAGGCAGAGAGCAGTGTGGCCACCTACCAATGGTACAGGCCACAAAGTAGATCCTGGAAGACTGCACCTGGATGTCGAACCTGTGGCAATAAGCCACCAGCAGCCCTGGGGAGATGCAGAGTCACCACATCTATTGCACAGCCACGGGAGACCAGTGTGACAGGATGACCCACAGGGTGATCAGGACCTGGCAAGCTTGCCATATAGCCACGCACCACCCAGGAGGCCATCTCACTCCCAGACCCTTCCTGAACTCTAGGCCCGGGTGCCATGCCCACAGACCACCTGATGGTCCCACCCCTTGCACTCAGCCCATACCTGGCACCAAGATGTCTCCAAAGCCTAGGAGGGAGAAGGGCCGGTCACACAGGGAGAGGGGTGAGGTGTTCAGCCTAGGTACCTTCAGCACCATGGGCAGCTGTGGGGAGAGCAGGCCTTAGGCTGGGCCCCACGCTCACCACCCCTGCCTGGGCTCTTAGCCCAGGGCCCACATGCAGGAGTGACGTACCTTCTCGTGGGTGGATGAGTTCGAGGGCCCAGTGGCCACCTCCACCATGATGCTGTTCCCACTCTGCACAAGACAGGCTTGTCAGCCAGGGTGGGGGAATGGGTGGGCAACTGGGAAGGCAGAGGGGACCTACCTTGGTCAGGAAGGGGGTGATGAAGACGAAAAAGACATCATAGATGAACAGCACCAACAGCAACAGTGTGCAGGCCTGTGAAAGCAAGAGCCTGAAGGGCCACCTAGCCCAGGGCCCAGGGCCAGAACTGCATCCATGACCTGTGCCCAGGACTAATGGCCCAACCAGGGCTGCCCCTATGATCACACCCTAACACCCTGTACCCGTTGCCTTGCCCAGGCCCTCAGACCTCTACCCAGGACTGTGCCTGCCACACTCACTGGCAGCCCTCACCTTGAAAGTGGGCAGGCGGATGGTCTTCAGCATGTACAGGCAGAAGGCAATACCCAGGATGTCCTGCAGGACCCAGGCCCACCTGGGAGGAGAACACTCAGTAACTAGCAGCCCTTCCCTTGCCTTACCCTACACCAGGCAGCCACCAAGGGCCTGCCACCAAACCATGAGGTGCACCCCGCATGCCCACAAGTGACCTCAGGCCCCAGAAACAACAGTGTCACCAAGCTGGGTGGCAGGGCCCAGCAGCTTGGACTGGCTCCAAGCAGATATCGGGTGGGGCTCCATGTGGGGTACAAGCCAGAGTGACGCTCCTGTCCCCTCAACTGTGGAGTTTAGGAGTTGGAACTGTATGGGGCCAGGGCTGTGCAGCCAGAGGAAAGGGCTGCCGGGAGAATGTGACTCTGCTGTTCCTCACTGCAGCCACCATGTACAACATGTGGGGACGACAGGGACACCTCTCATGTACACGACTCAAAACATCCCCACCCCTTTCTCCTCCCAGTGATGTCTGTTAGAATACCAAGAAGCAGGGAACCCAGGAGTGCCTGGCTGCCTAGGGAGAGGCGTGGGCTGTGCCAGACGGTGTCAGTGACAACAAGGAGCCAGGTGGGGACAGGCAGGCTGTCCTCTGGACCACAGCGCCAGACCTCTGACTTAAAGGGGAGTGTGCAAGAACTCCACGGGAATCCAATGCAGAGGAGAATGGGGCCCCCTAACCATGGGGGCAGGTGGCAAGTGGCACCAAGGCATCAGGTGCTGCTTGAGCCCATGCCAAGACAGTAGGTGACAAATAGTGGCTCTGGTCTAGCATGTCCCCTTGTCCTTCCCAGGAGTTGAGTGGAGGACGGACAGCACTCTTATCTAGATTCCAATCAGGGTAGGGCTCTGGGCCAGGCCCAAATGAAACGGGACACGGGCAGGCGGCAGCCTTGGTGTGAAGCCCTCCAGATGGGTAGCAGTGGGCCAGGCTGGGCAGCAAGGGCATCCAAGGACAGCAGCGGGAAGTTGACGGGGTGGTTATCAGCAGAGCCTAGGGCAGCACTTACTGGTCCTCATTGCGGAAGACACCCCACACTACGGTGACAGTGACACAGAAGAGTGCTAGCAGCAGCATGCGGGCCTGTGGGCGCTTGTGAAAGTACGGCAGGTTGTTGTCAGGAACCCTGGAGGGGACCACCCGTCAGCGTTCCTCCTTCACACACTGCGTGCAGTTTACCGCCACACCACCCCAAGTCACAGCTCCAGGCTCGGGCCTGCTGTCCCGTCCCACCCCGGAGCAGAAATCCCTAAATATATGGCTGTGTCTTCTCCTGCTGGGACAGGTCCCTCTGGCTTCAGGATAGCAACCCCCAAATAGCCTCCATCCTGTCACTGCTGGCTTCCAGTGCCCAGGGCCCCTCACCTAGCCCACATGGCGCTGAGCAGCAGTGCTGGCCTATTGGTACCCCAGGGGCTAGTAGACCTTCCCAATCTACCTCAGCTGCCTCACTGCCTGGGACCCCTGAGCCATGCCTCAGCTGGACAGGAAGGGGCAGGGTGCACAGGGGCCTGCTGCCCCAGTGCCCACCCCACTGCATGATGAGCACTTAGGGAGCATCTGCAGTCTCTCTGAATGTGCCAGCAGGGAGGTGCTCACCTGAATGTGCAAAAGGGCAGCTTGCGCACACAGGGTGCCAGACAGCTGTAGAGACCAGTGGAGGAGGCCAGGCAGAAGATGCCGATGATCACGTAGACTGCGGGACGGAGGGGGAGAGCAAGAGAGGGGGTGCGGAAGGGTGAGGGTGGGGTGGGGAGGGAAGGGCTCTGCCCCAGGGTGGGTGGGGCTCCAGCGTACCCAGGCGGTCATAGAAGTAGTAGAGCAGCACCAGCATGAAGCAGCACATAACAACAAACACGCAGATCATGACTGGTGTCACATCCACCGCCTCATCCTCATGCTTCTCGGGCCCATCGTCGCGCTTATGCTTCATGTACCTTCTTGGAAAATATCAGGGTTACCCGGGGCCGGCAGCTTGGCCCCGCCTATGATGCCTGTAGTAGGCGGCACTCACTTCTTTACATCACGGCTGCCGGCCCAATAGCCACCGAGGGCGACGGTGCCCACGGCCATGACGAAGATGATGACCATGTTGTAGTCCATTACTGGTTCGCTGGGTGCATACAGTGCCACCATCACCGCATGGCCAAAGAGCTGTCCCCAAGGGGAGAGAGGGCTTAGAAGGTGGGAGGCACTATGCCTCGGCTCTACTTAAGTAAGACCCACCCAGAAATCTCAGGATCCCACCTGGAGCCAATACCTAGGATCAAGGCCCAGAATCCACAGCACCTGCTCCTACGACCCAGGCCTCAGACTCTAAGCCCCACCCACCCTGCCACGCCCTGGTGCCTACCCTGAAGATGTCTTGCAGGTCCCTGTGACTAAGCAGGGCCACAGGGATGCTTATCTCCTCATACTGTGTTTTGTTGCCTCCTGGAGGGACCTGTAGCAGACAGGAAGTATAGGATCATCCCAGCCCTCTGGTGCCCAGCTCTGCACCACACCCTGGTATGCAGAAGGCCTGAAGTTCAGGTTGGCAGGGCCAGGAGGCTCCTCTCACCTGGCCCAGCACAGTGGCCACTCTAAGGGTTCTCAGACCATTAGCAACTGGCCAAATCACATCTATCACGTGTAGCCTCAGGGACTCAGTGCCAGACTCTAATGTCCCTCATGTCTTCACCAACCATTTCCGGGTTCCACAGCCCTCTCACAATGCTAAAGCCATGGTCCCCCAATGCTGTCCCCCCACCCCAGAGGTGATGGAGACCTGGGCACCCTACCAGCTTCTCCTTGCTGACTATCAGCAGTGCACGTGCCCCGCTGCCCTGGGCCAGCCGCACTTTCTCATAGAAGGTACAATTGCCCCGGGCTACCAGCCCAATTTGGTTGGTGAGGTCTTCCACAGGAAGGTCAAGGTGGGAACAGAGCTGCGTTGAGCTTAAGTCTCGAAGCTTTAGGAGAGACTGCAGAGGAGAATGGTATCAGGGCCACCAAGTCCCACAGAAAGACAGGGAGCAGAACACGCTAGCAGTCCCTACAGGTACCCACACCAGAACAGCCAGGCCCTTCCTCCCTGGCTGGGGTGGGACCCAGAGGGCTGCTCTGAGGACCCTGTGAGATATATCCACACAGCATGCAAAGCTAGGAATTGGTGAACCTAGGAATTGGTGAACCCAGGGGCCACAAAGTCCTCTCCCTTACTGTAAACACTGGGATACCATCCAAATGCCTGGTAAGTGTCCCAGCCTCAGTACCAGTCACAGTGGCATTAAGCATCACTCAAGGCTGAAAAGGCAAGCTGACCCACGGCAAGCATGCTCAATACCATGAGACTTTGGGCCTAGCAGCTGGGCAATCACACACATGCACAAAGTGCACACCCCATTAAGTATAGATGGGGAGGGATGGAGAGGCCCTCTCAAAGGACAGGGAATAGCGTGGGGCACAAGCAGATATGGGGGTTTTGAAGGATGAGGTGGATGGACAGTCAGTCACCTACCCAAGCCCTGTCTGACCAGGCTCCCCAGCAGGCCTGCCTCCCCATAGCCTCACTCAGCTTTCATTCCTGAGCATGAAAACCCAGGCCCAGAGGGATGGAGTCCACGCAACTAAGACGAGGCGAGAGTGAGTGGTAGCAGCCAGATGCAGGATTGGGTGTCCCCAGCAGGCCACAGGCACATGTGGCCTAGTGTGCAACCTACCACTTTGCTGAGGTCATGTGGTAGGTGGGCCCACTGAGGGTTGTAGAGGATGCAATAGTCCTTGCCCCGGGTACCGCCACTCTGAGAGACCACTCGCAGCATGCCAAACTCACAGGCCACCTACAATGACAAGCCAGTGTCAGGACTTAAAGCACCAGAGGAAGTGACGATACCTTAGAAAGGAGGGCCCATTACCATGGTCTTGGTGAGGGCACCAGTGAGGAAGACAGCAAGGACACAGCCACCTTCCTGGTGGTGCAGCTCTCATCCCACACTTGGGAGGCTGAGGCAGGGGGATAGCCATGAGTTTGAGGCCAGCCTGGTCTGCAGAGACCCTGTCTCAAAGAAGGGTGAGCTCGTTCCCTTCTGACCCTTGCACCCTCCTCCTGATACTGGCCATGACTGCCAAGAGCAGCATGTCACAGAATGGTCCTGCAGAAGGGACCTCTGAAGCAGGGAGCTATAGGAAGACGGACAATCCCCAGAGCCAGTTATGCCCTACAACCTTCTCCTGGCTCCCATTACATTCCCTGGGCTCTGATGACCAGTACCTATAATGCTATCTACTAGGACTGCACAGAGCCCCAAGGAAGCCAGCCACCTCTCTGGGCTATAGTAGAGAGATCCCAGAAGAGAAGCAAAGGCTGCTTGCATGCCCTGGCCCCCTGGCCCTGGCCTGGAGCTGGGGATGCCCCCCAAACTACACCTGGAGTTAAGGGTATATGCAGCCCATAAGAGCAGTACATGGGGGTAGGAACAAAGCAGGGGACAGTCATCTGTGTGGCCTCTGTTGAATGTGAGACTCAGTGGTTTGCCCTGAGAAAGGCATTAGCCTCCTTATCAGCTCAGGCCAGCAAGGTGAAGGGGAAGCAGATACGATGGGCAGATTGGCTGTTACAGCTGGGAGAGTGTGAGTTGGACCCTGTGCTACTGAGCACTGCCTGGGCTCCAAAGACCCAAAGCTATGGGAAGAAGCAGACAGTGGAGGGGCAGGGGCTAGGAAAAGATGAATGACAACACCCCCAGGCCCACCCTTAAGGAAGCATAAGGGGCTAGGCATGGTGGAACATGGCCTCAATCCTAGCACTCGAGGTAGAGGCTTGTGAGTTAGAAACCAGTCTGGTCTACATATTAAGTTCCACCATGGGGCCTGAGTGGGCAGAGCCATCCAAGTCAGCCCCACAGCTGCAGTGCAGAGAGTGAAGAGCAGAGGACTCATGAGAAACGACTGGCAGTAGAGGATTACACAGAAATGTCCCCATCCGTGCTGTTGTGTCCAGCCTTTCCCTGATGAGGGAAACACCACCACAGCGCTGAGTTTGGCCATGGCCAGTGTTTCCTTTTTGAGATCCTTTTAGCCACCAAGACAAGCTGGGAGAGAGTGTGAGTTAGACAGACTCTTACTGCCCAGCCTCCACAAAAAGGGTTCCGTACAGGGCCTCAAGGTGGCTCCCCAGGCCCAAGTTCCAGCCCACAGGGCAGAAGGGAGACTCCCCCAAGTTGTCATCTGACCTTCACATGTGATACAGCATGTACATGCAAATACACACAGACTCAAACCAAAATCAGTGTTTTAAAAAACTAGTTTCATTAAGCTCAGAGTTCCACAGATCTGCAAAAACAATAAAGTGTACCGCCACTGCAGTTGCTTTCACACAACAGCAGGTCCCTGATGCCAAGCACACCACAAACAGGCTGCAGAAGACAGAAATCAGGCTGGGCTGAGGTGGCAGTCCACTGCTTGCTGCAGGCTGGTTGCCACAGTCAGGGAAGCCACCTGTTAGGGAAGACTTACCTCTAACAGACCTGCTAGGATAATGGGTTCCTGTGTCACACTACAACTTGCCACAGGGGATGTGGTGCTGGTACAACAGCAGTGTGACTGTTAACAGGTGTAATCAACTACCTACTGCTTACATGTGTTGTCAGGCAAAGGCTTTGGGCTCAGGTGATCATAGTGTGCAGCAGATACATAGTTGTTATTGTTGGGTCTCATGTAGCCCAGGCTAGCATCCAACTCTTTGTAGCTGAGGATGACCCTGACCTTGCCATATCCACCTCCTGAGTGCTGAAACAAATAGGCACACACCTACCTGGTTTTGTGGTGCCAGGGATGGGATCCATGGCTTCATCCATGCAACAGTCTGTGATGTGCCTGTCAAGACGCCTTCTAAACATCTGTGTTTACATGTAAAGCTCATGGCCACTGCTGGCCCAGTCAGTCAGAGAGTCTTGAGGAAAATGACTTAGCTGTGGCACAGTGGACCAATGGTCTGCCTTCATCAGAGAAAACACCCACATCTCCCTCCCAAGGCTCAGAGCATGTCACAGAAGAGGAAGGACTGGAAGGGGCTGGTGTGTCTAAGGATCAGAACTCTTATCATAACTCCTGAATTCAGAAACCTGTAAGCTCACAGGCCCATTGCCAAGGCCACACAAGTGGCACCTGATGAAGGGAGACAACCCAACATCTGTCAGGCCTGCCAGGAGCCAGCTTTTCAGCCACCCTCAGCCCTGTAAGGACCTCCCTAAGCTCCACCTGGGTGGAGTCATTTCTGTCATGTAGGTGATCTATCTGGGGCACACAGATTTTGTTTACATCTCCCCAGAAGTCACTCAACATCTAGACCCTCTTGGCTGCAAGAGGGAGATTGGGTGTCGCCTGAGGCCCTGCCATGGGCTTGGGATGAGGCTCTTTGTGAAAAGTACCTTTTGTGTAAAACTGAAATCAATAGAACTGCCTCTTTTCACAGTGGTCATTTACAAGCACAAAGGCGAATTCATGGCTGCCCACCCAACAGGCACATGGCAACCTTCTACTCAATCACCACACGGACAGCACAATGACATGCTGAACAGGTCGGGCTCTTCTAAGAACCAGTCCCTAAGGCTTGGTGTCCTAGTCACACCTAGGAGAACTGAGACCAGAAGCCACTTAGACACATCTGGGTGCCATGAGCCCCTAACACCTCAGAGTGCTGGGAAACCAAGACAACATGACGGGGAGCATGGTGGTGGGGGCCTCAGGGACACCAGAGGCCTGCTCGGGACCATGTAGTCCCACTGAACACTCCTCTCCTGGTGGTACTGGGTCCAGGACTGCCACCAAGCCACCTCCTGCTCAGAAAGCTAGCCTCACTACTGGGCACCTGGACCAGGCTATTGGGGACCCAGCCAAGAATGCCACCCACGCTTGCTCCCCTCCAGATGTGGGAAAGGCAGGGGTGGCTGTCACAAGCAGGACAAAGGCCTGCACAGCTAAAGCCCCCAGGCACACAGCTTCTCTGCCAGCCAGGACCCAGGCCTTTCTGCTCCACTGTCTCCAACCACCACAAGGAGGAAACCACCTCCCCAGGTGTCAACTCCAGTCATCATGTGCTCATCCTACCGGAAAGCACCATCTCTCATATGTAGGGCTTGCACCTGCTGCCCACAGCACCCTTCCTCTTCCATCCTTGGCAAACTCCTATTCATGCTTCAGAACCACTAAAAAACCCTCCATCATGTAAAATAGACCAGTAAGAAAGAAACAGGCCAGTCAGGGCATGTCCAACCGGGACTAGATAACCAGGGGCATTCTGAAGTCAAAGAAAAGACAAGGAGAAAATAGAATAGCCTCGGTGGACATCACCTGCCCAAAGATGGAGGCTTCCAGACAGGCCAGTGGCCCAGTAAAGATGAAGGAGAGTCCTAACACACTTTCAAAAGCTCATGCCCAGCCAAGAGCCGGATGTAGGGATAAAAACAGGCAAAGGGAGATGAGGGCCACATGACAGAGTGGCTAGGAACCACACGACTTCTTAGCCAATCAAGGAGAAGCATGCCAGTCATGCCGGCGCTGGGGAGGCTGAGGCTCAGTTACAAATTCAATGGTAGCCTGAGCTATAAAGGGAGACACTGCTACAAAATCTTGTAATCTAAAAAAAAAAAAAAAAAAAAGATTTAAAAGAAAGATCCAGGCCCAGGGTCCATGAGAGAAGATGAATATATAGGATGTCAGAAGCACAGGCTACCCTGTGGGCCATCCACATTAGAACCCAGCAACTGCTCCACGTGCCAGGGCTGCAGCCCGCCCTCCACCATCCACTGGGGCTGGAGGCTGATGCACAGAAACAACAAACAAGAAATCTAACAACTAAACCAAGTCATCCCAGTGCTTGGGAGAGTGAGGCAGGTGGTTTTTGGTAAATCCAGGTTAGCCAGAGCCTAATAGGCTGTTCAGGGCCAGCCTGGGCAACATGGTAAAGTTAAGAGACCAGCCTGGGCTGCAGAGCGAGTTGGAGGCCAGCATTAATTACAGAGTGAGTTCAAGGCTAGCCTAAGCTACACGGGGAGTTCAAGGCCAGCATGCGACCATATCTCAGCAAGCAAAACACACCAAACGTCCTGCCTCGGCACCGGGTCGATGAGCATCCCGCGACACCCTGAGGCCCACATAGGTCCCCATCCCACCCCCGCGTTTTGCACTAACTGACCCAGAGGTGGGGACCCCCTCCTGCCCAAGGTCATGGAGCAGAAGCCGGGTGCAGGACTGCAAGCACCCGGGCGGCGGCACTGGACGCCCCCGGGGGAGGGAGGGAGTCAGGGACTCGCCCCATTCTGCAGAAGGGGAAACTGAGGCTGGCAGGGGCGGCGGCGGCAGTTGGGGCCCCGCGGCGCAGGGCGGGCTAAGCCCGGCCGGAAGTCTGCGGTGGCGAGAGCGAGGGGACGATAGCAAACTCACGGCCGCAGTCACGAGCGGCCGTGGCGCTCACCTGGGCCACAAGCAGCAACAGGGCCGCGGCCAGCCGCGACGCCGCCGCCATGTCGGCCTGTCCCACCGCAGCTCTAGGCGGAAGGTTTCCCGGCAACGCCTTCGGGACCCCGGGACACGCATGCGCCGACCCTGCGCGTGCGCGGACCGCCCCTGGGTAGAAGGGGTGGGGCGGCGCCTGCGCAGCGCGGTGCGGGCGGCAAGATGGCGGTGAGCATTGCTGAATCGCAGAGAAAGCAGGGCTACGGGCACGAGGGACTGTAGAAGCGAGAACTGTAGGACACAGGAGGACCAATGAGAGAGTGGCGGACACCCGAAGACGGATAGGGAGACAGGGGCGCGGAGGAATTGGAATCACGTGGGACTGCACACCGGGCGTCTTGTGGTTGCAGACCGGGAACCTGAGGATGCAGGCGGGAGGGACATGGAGATACAGCCGGGGGACATAAGGATGCAGACCGGGCGACATGGGGATGCAGGTGGGAGACATGGGTGTGCTGATGGAGGACATGGAGATGCAGACAGGGGACATGGGAATAGAGAGAGAGATACAGACTCAGCGACCTGGAATTCAGTTAGGGGGAATAGGAGATGGAAATGAGGTTGCAGATGGAGTTATGAGGGCTGTAGGATGGTCGAAAGGAGTCGCTGGGTGCCAGGTCCAGGCAACAAGGATATGTTAAGACTGGGCCTCACTCCCTCCACTCTCCAGCAGGACAAAGAGAAAAAGAAGAAAGAAAGCATCTTGGACCTGTCTAAGTACATTGACAAGACCATCCGAGTGAAGTTCCAGGGTGGCCGGGAAGGTGAGTGGGTACAACAGGGCCCCTAAAACAGAATCAGACTTGTGACAAGCAAGGGAAAGCCACACAAGGCAGGCATTTTAACTCTTAATAAAGACTGAGCTTGGGCCATCCTTTAATTTGAATGGTATCAGTATGTCCCAATTATGGATGGGGATATTGAGTCCCAAGGAAAGAAAGCCAGGTGTGGTAAGCACCTAGACCATTATTGGTGGAGCCTGAAGGAAGAGGCCAGAAAGCTGGGAGGACGTAGAAGAAGGAGGCAAAGGAGGGACAGAAGGAAGGAGTCCTTAAGAGCCTGGAGCTAACAGGGACCCAAGAGGTTTCCAGTAGCGGGAACAGGGAAATTCCAGGTCAGTCTGAGCTATGTAGCAAGACCCTGTCTCCAAAATTCAACCAGAACTGGGCTATAGCTCAATGGATAGAATGCTGGTTTAGTGTACAGGAAGCCCAGGGTTTCATCTCCAACCCCATGTAAACCAGGAGAAGTTGCACAAGCCTGCTATTCCATCCCTAGGGAGGTAAAGGCAGGATCTGGGAGTTCAGAATTATTTTCAGGTTGCCTAATGAGGCCAGCCTGGGCAAATGATAGCAAAAAAAAGGAGGGGCTATTTTGTATTGCATGGAAACTTCAGAATTCGGTGTGGGGGATCATAACATTTTGTTGACACTTGGCCCACCATGAACTCACTATCTATGGTCCCTTCCACACTGGAAGGAAGAGAGTGGCAGTCACAGTCACCAGGCCACCACATAGGGACACACCTCTCCATGAGTTCTGTAGTGGTAACTGTCCCCATGCTGGGGTCTGCAATGGGAGGACAGCGACATCATCCTTACCCATCTCTCCCCTCCCTGTATTGCTCAAGCCAGCGGGATCCTGAAAGGGTTTGACCCACTGCTCAACCTGGTGCTGGACGGAACCATTGAGTACATGCGAGGTGAGCTGGATGTGGTTGTCCCGGGGATGCCACCAGGCCCTGTTTCTACTCCACACCTGTGGGGTCACATTGCAACAGGTGGTTGTGACCTAGGGTGCAGGTCCCTGCCGATCACCAGAAAGGTGACAAGCCTGCCATGATGGCCCCAGGCTTCAGACTTCAGCTCCTCCCCCTCAGCCCTCCTGGGGATGGCAGGAATGGTGTCTGCTGTCCTCTGTCTGGAATGTCTGCCTGTGTCACCAGCTCCAGGGTGCATAGGATCTCAGTTTATTCTAAAATAGCACCCACAATGCCTGCAGCGTGTCCCCTCCTGCACCCACATTAATTACTTTCTGATAGCTCCCTGTCTCTATCTCCTGTTCACTCTCCCCGGAGCCTCTGCTTCCCCCAATGACCACTCCTTGTGGCGAGTATCTGCCCTGGGTTATTGTAGAATCCCAGGTATCCATGCCCACAGTCAGCCCTGAGACCCGAACACCTGGGTGTGACGGTCCCCAAACGAGAGATGGGACAGCCTTCTAAGGTCCTGGTTGTAGAGTGCTGGGTGGAAGGACATGTCTTCAGTTCCTCTTACCTGTCATCCCCCCGCCCCCAGACCCTGATGACCAGTACAAGTTGACGGAGGACACTCGGCAGCTGGGGCTTGTGGTGTGCCGTGGCACGTCAGTGGTGCTCATCTGCCCCCAGGATGGCATGGAAGCTATCCCCAACCCCTTTGTGCAGCAGCAAGATGCCTAGATGGAAAGCTTCCTGGGCCCAAGGACTCCCTTCCTGTGTGAACTTGTGTTTGGTGTTTTTGTTTCTGGTTTTTTGTTTTTTAATAAAATTGCCCACTTGAGCACCCAGGTGTCCTCCCCTACCCCTTCTGCTTTGTCACTTTGGTCATCTGAGAAGCCAGGGGTGGCTCAGGCAGAACACAGCACAGCAGAGACTGGAAAAGCCTGGGGAGGTCCCCTCAGCGGGGCCCAGCCTCACCTCAGCCTTTCCTCTCCCGCTGGGCTGTGGCAAGAAGACAACACCTTTTGGACTCTGCCAGGACTTGACCTTCCCCACATATGGTCCTCAGCGGCACTGTCCCCAGTGCATTGTCCCCTCCGCTGGGGAGCAAAACAACCTGATACATGCAGGCAGGTGGAGAATGGAGAGATGGCTGCTGAGCACAGTGGCTGGCAGGGAGCCTGGGTACCTCAGGCTGGGACAACTGTCACAGGGAAAGGGCAGGGGCCAGGGCAAAGCAGGGCTCTACCTAAGGACAGATGGCAGAGACTGCTCTGCAGCTGTCCTTGAACCTATACTGATGAGAGACAATTATAGATTAGGGAATTAGTTCTGGCCCTCAGCCCTCCTAGTTCCTTCCCTTTACCTGGGGTCTGAATCCCATGGCCACAGTCCACAGACAAGCAGTGGCTCTTAAGTTTGGGGAGCCTGGCTCCCTGAAGGTTTGACCTTTGGCCAGAGTCAGTCAGGGCCCCACTTCTCAGGGGTAAAAATGAGACTTGTAGCCAGCCAGCCCTGCTTAGCTTTCCCAGGAGCTATGGGAGGACATTAAGTCAGCAAGCTTTGTCCCTGACACCCCTTGAAACTGGTGTGTGTACTCCAGGTGGCAGACTGGAGAAGAGGAAGTCCACTTCTCCCTGTGCATCGGGAAGTGTCCCACCCTGCTGAACTCCAGTCTTGACAACACTCCTGCCTGACCACACACACAGCAGCCATGTTGCCCTCCCTGGAAACTCAGAGCTCAGAAATCGGCATGAATTTACTTCACTTGAGAGTGACTTTCCCAGTTCTAGAAGCTGAATGGGCCATTTATCATAAAGGGTGATCTGTACAAAATGGGGTGCCCTATACCCCCAGCTAGCCTCCAGGCTACTTTCCATTGTATACCCCATGCTGCAAGCAGGACATATGTCCTGACTGCCCTACACCATGCCAGAAACAGCCTAGCTGACAGAGGAGCTTGGCAGCATCTCCCTGCTGCAGAAGGACCTGGAAGCCACAGCCAAGTGGGGAGGCTGGCCTAGCACCTATTGCCTGGAGACAGAAACTCAGACATGATCTTCTTGGGGCCAGCAAGTCTGAGTCCTGGAGTGGCCCCACCATACCTCTTAGTCCCTCCCTACCTGTCAAGCCTGCCCATACCTCTTAGCTGTGGCATTTGGGAGGCAGAAGCAAGAAAGTTGCCAGTTCCAAGACAACCAGGCCTACAGAGCAAGACACTCTTCAATGGCACAAAACAGGGCCATTGAGAGGGATGGGCAAGTAGAGGCCCTTGCCTTTAAGCCTGGTGACCTCAGTCTGGTCCCTAGGACCTACAGAGGAAAAATATAACTGCAATTTGTCCTCTGACCTCCACACATGCCATGGCACTTGTCCCCATAGATACAAACACACACAAATAAAATGAAAAACAGTGTATAGCTTAGGTGAGGCTGTCCACACATTCGTGGGAAATAATAAAGAGCATGTTGCTATATTTGGGGATGTTTATTACACAGTGTAACATTACAGGAACTTGCTGAGACAGCCCTGGAACAAGTTCAAGTGTACAATATGTATAGAAGAATCCCATTTGTGTTGAGTATTTTAGATTAGATAGACAGATAAAGATATTTGTTTTTGTTTTGTTGATTTTTCAAGACAGGGTTTCTCTATGTAGCCTGGCTGTTCTGAAACACACTCTGGACCAGACTGGCCTCCATTCACAGAGTCCTGCCTACCTCTGCCTCCTGAGTGCTGGGGTCAAAGGCATGCGCCACCATGGCCCCCTAATTTTTATTTTTTTAAGAGATTTTGGAGGTGTGTGACTGTGAGTTTTGAAGACAAAAATATCCTGTCACAAAGTCAAAAGGTTAAACATGTCAGAAAAGTCCCTTGCCACCTTGGGATGGGAGAAAGTGGTCTAAGGATTTGCGGAGCAGGATCCAGATCTGAGTGTTTTAATATTTTAAACAGAAATTTACTATTAAATGTTTTCTTTTAATATCACATTGAAGATTTAATATTTCTCTAGGAGTTGGAGGGTAGATGAAGAGGCGGAGGGGGTAGTGACAGCAGGAGGAACCAGGCCACCAGCCTCCCTGACTTAGGATCCCTCCGCCCCACCACAGTTCACTACGCCAACCGGCCCCCTAACCTCGGCCCAGATCCCGCCCTTCCAGCTTCCTGGCCTGGGTCAGCGCAGGTTTGGGGGCTGCAGCCGGGGGCTCGGGCCATCAGCTCAGGGACCCGGCCTGCTGCAAGTGTCTGTGCTCACCACCATGGCCCTGGGCTTCCAGGTCTTCACAGAGAGGCCGTGCATCTTGTGCCAAGAGGCCCCTCTTTGGGAGACCTTGCCCAGAGGCCCTGCAGATGAGGAACGACAGACAGGCCACAGTTTGACCCCAGATCGACAGGACATCCCTAAGACGCCACCTCCTGGCACCTTCCAGAAGCTTCGGAAAGCAGGCCAGATACTATGGGATGATCGGCTGCAGCTCTGCCCCTCCTGCCCCACCTGTCTTGTCAGGCACAAAACCTTTTCCTTAGTCCGCTTTCTGCGTTTTGATAATGCAGCCGAGACCCAGAGAGGGAAAGGAACTCCCACAGTCACACAGCTTAGAACACAGTACCCCTCCCTCTGCATCCCCCTCTCCTCTGTGGCGCCAAGCCCTTCTCTAACCGCTAGGTCCCCACTGTGACACAGGCGGGGTGGGGTTCGAGTCTAAAGGAACTATAGCTGTAGCGGGAAGATAGCGTGCTTGCCTACATGCCGCAAGCCCTGGGATCTATTCCCATCAGCATATAAACCCGGCGTGGTGGCGCAATCCTGTCACTGCTGCACTGAGATGTGGAGGCTGGAGGATCAGAAGTTCAAGGTTGTCTTTGGCTACAAGGCAATGGGAGTGTTAAGGATGTAGGGACAGAAAGAAAAAAAAAAAAAAAAAAAAAAACAGGACCAGAGAAAAAACACATTTCCTTTCTCACATGGCAGGTCTATCCCAGACAGCCAAAGGGAGGCCTTACTCCAGCCCTGGAGCAGTTCCAGAAGAGCCCAGATGGCTTTCTGTTCAGTGAACTGCACAGATGAGGCCTTACCCAGTCTGGCCATGAGAGATGGATTCCTACAGGAAGGATCCAGGGGCTGTTGACCACTGTTGACCGTTGATCAAGGGATTGAGTTTTGATGTCCCAGAAAACCCCCCGCAGCTCTTCCAGGGGTCCTAGTTACCTCCCTGCTCCCCATGGGCTCTCTAGCTGTCCCCAGGAAGCGGGGGACCCAGATCTCTCACACAATAAAAGTCTCTAGTGTGTAAGCATGCAGACCCTGTAGTCCTAAGGCTTGCCCATCTCTAGCCATCACTTGGTCCCATATCCAGCAGGGCTGACCCTGAGCAGCAGGGACACAAATCTTCCAGACACAAAGGCCCTGTGGCCACCACCAACATTCCCATGCTGGGCAGCAATGGGACAGAACAAAGGCAGAAGGGGATGGGAGCTGAGGGCCACAGTGGGTAGAACATGCCTGTGAGGCAGGAGGAACAGCAATGCAAGGGCCAGTCTGGGCTACATATATAAAAAACAAAGCAGGCTGGCCAGATGGCCCAATGGTTAATGGCACTTGCTGCTAAGCCTGGCCGTCCGCGTCCCATCCCAGGACCCACACAGTGAAAGGACAGAACTGACTCCCATGGGTTGTCCTGTGACCTGGACATGAGCAAAGTGGAAGAAACCAGATCCACAAACATTTGGGGAACTTAGAATCAAACAAGTCCCAGATTCACTCACAGTCCCCCTTCCAGCCAGTGCCTCCCTGCTGCTATACCCATGGATCACCTGACACCACTCATCTACCTCAGTCCTTCAAGAGATGCAGAATCTGCACACCTACAGAAATGACACCGGGCTGTGGGTGTACCTTAGGAATGGAGCCCTGCCTAGACTCCCCCAAAGAGGGGCGGAGCTCAGGGGTGGGCAATTTGAGCAGTGCCAAGCCTTGGGGAGTTCATCTCCAGCTCCACAAGCCACAGAAATCAAATCGATCTGGAAGCTTCCAAGGAACGTATGCCCCCAATTCTTCCAGAAACCAGAGGCAGAAGGAATATTTCCAACTAGTTTCTGAGGCAGCAGGTTCCACTGGATGAGGATGGAGACAGAAGCCAGAGACCGCAGCCCTCCCCACCTGGACAGAGAGTCTTCTCCTCTGGGGTCCTCCTGACCCCAGCTGGACATGAGGGATCAGACAGGGACACATGCCTGTCATCCTGGCTCTCTTCAGATCCCAGAGGTCTACAAGGAGGTGTGAGGCCGGCCTGTGTAACACAGCAACACGGTCTCAGAAAAACAAAACACAAAAAAACTATTCACAGATAGCCAGGCCTAGTGGCCCCTCCTGGAGTCCCAGCATTGAAGAATGCTGCTAAGGCTAGAAGGATGACAAGCTGCAGGCTGGTTTGAGCTACACAGTTAGATCCTGTTCAAATGTGGGCTGTAGTAAGTCTGTCCCAGCTGGTAGGGTGGCACAGGGGAGGGCACTTGCTACCCAACCTGATGACCTGAGTTCTGCCCTGAGACTCTCACAAATTGACCTCTGACCTCTGCATGTGACAGGGGTGCATGACCCACACATAAAATAAATGTATAAAGTATAATTTTTAAAAAATTGATGCTGGACAGTGGTGGTACACACCTTTAATCTCAGCACTTGGGAAGCAGAGGAAGGTGGATCTCTGTGAGTTCAAGGCCAGCCTGGTCTACAGAGTAAGTTTCAGGACAGCCAGAACTGTTACACAGAGAAACTCTGTCTGAAAACAAGTGTGTGTGTGTGTGTGTGTGTGTGTGTGTGTGTCCCAGCTTTTCAATTTTGGGGATTTGAACTCCGATCCTCATGCTTGATTACAAGCATCCTTACCTGCTGAGCTATCTGCTGGCCCTATGGACCACTTCTTGTTCTCTTTTCTTTATATATGGGTTGTGGCATACATGTCTGTCTGTGCACCATGTGTGTGAAGGTCAGAAGCTGGCATTAGATCCCCGGGACGGATGTTACAGTGTGAACTGGCCTGCGAGTGCTGGGAATGGAACCTGGGTCCCCTGCGAGTGCTCTACCCACTGAGCCGTCCCTCTAGAGCCCAGAGGCCACCTGTCTTCTTCCTTTCTTGCTTCTGTGTGTTTTGAAACAGGGTCTCTCTATGTAGTCCTAGCTGGTCTGCAACAAGAAAGAGGCCATTTAAAATGATTTATAGTAAGTTCTCTCTAGGAGCAGGAGTCCACTTACCAAGGACTTTGGAGGACCCTCCTACCTTCCCCGGCAAACCTCTCTGCCTAGAGCTGTGTCTCCCAACTTCCTGGCAGGTAGTGTTCCAATGTTACCACCCTCTGTAACTGTTCAAACATCTGTTGTTGACCACAGGCAGCTGTGTGAACACATGAATGCTCAAAGCTGAAGAGTCATTATTATGGCTCACAATTTACAGATGGAGCTATTAGAGCTCAGAGAGGGTTGTCATTGACCTGAGGATGCACAGCAATGAGCTTGTTAACCAGGGGAACGCTCAGATCACTTGGAAAGGTTGCTTTACATCTTAGTGATTGATAACTCACCCTCTGGTCAGGAGTTGGGGGGTATGGTTGTTCTTGCTTGCTTGAAAGGTGCCACATGACTGGACCAATCATAATCCAGAAGGGAATAAACATGGGGCTTTCTTTTCAAAACTCGTTCCTTGGTTTCAGGGTCTCCACCAAAGCTCATCACAGGGACCCCCCCCCCCACATTGTCCCCAGATCACACTGAGTTGAGCATCCCTGTCCCTCCCGGGCAGTAACATACACCCTGAAGCCACACCCATGCTCCCCATCAGCTGGAGCAACTCAGGTGGTCCATCTCCATGGCAACATCCCATCCATAGGTGGTCGGAACCTTGGCAACCAGGTGCTAATGGCCCCACTGCCTGGAAGGCTATGAGCCTCCTGCAGCTCCCCACACCCCCATATCTCCCCCCAGCCTCCCCATACAGGCAGCTCTGGGGAATCTGAGGAGGATATTGAGCTCAGGGAGAGCAGGAGACCTCCCATGGTCACATAGCAGCTGGGCCTGGGGGTCACCATACCCACAACCCTCCTCCTGTCAACACCACAGGTCTTACACACACATTTAGTGTCTATTAAATGTCAGTAGTATGTGTGGCTCAAGCACACCTCTGTCCTCATCTGACACCCATGGGGGACAGGAAGTGACACACTGGCTGGGAGGAGAGGGCAGAGAATGCCTGGTCTCACAAATCCCTACACTTTCTCCTCCTCAGACCACCCCCATACAATTCTCCATCAATCACCTATGTCACTAGTTCAAGAGCAAGTCTATTGGCTGCCGAGTTCCTGCAGGGAGGGCATGCTGCAGGGTAGAGGAGGAAGAACAGACATAAATAGGAGGAATGAGTAAATTATAGGATATCTCGGGAAATTGCAGGGAGGTTGGGAACGGGGACAGAAGGCGGCTGGGTGGAGATGTGAGTCAGGAGAAAGCAGGGGCGGGCGGGGCAGACGAGCTCTGCTAGGCAGCAGAACAGCGTGTGCAAAGGTCCTGAGGTGGGAACCAGTCTCCTCCCCCACAGCCTGGCCCTGCTCTCTCTCCACTCCAGAGCAATGAGAGGAAGCTGGACAGAGCCCCCAGGCACCCTGGGGTCCCCCAGTCATTAAAGCTGTAGTCTGCAGCACTAGACTCAGGAGCTCCAGTGCTAAACCTGAACTCAGACAAGAAGGGCAGCACCTCAAATGGGGTCAGTCAGTTGACTGTGGCCCTGACCCCACTTGAGTCCACCTTTGGCTTTGGCTGTAGTTCTCCCCATCCATGGAAAGCTGCTATACCATGGAGCTTTGCACACAGTAGGCACTCAACCAATACCTCCACCATGAGTCCACAGAATCAGGATATCATAACTCAGAGACTCAGAGAAGACATGCAACTTGCCTGGGGTCACACTGGACAGCATGGCATGGAGTTGGAGCCTACCTCCAAGGATACGGGGAGGGGGTCATTTTTTTTTCTAGAACTTTTCATGGCTTGGAAGGAAGCTTCCCACCCCTTGGCTTGGGGAGTGACCTGGTGCATGGCCTCCCAGGATGCAGTTTCTGGGCCTTAGGCCAATGTGACAGTCTGGGAATGGAGCCTGCTTGAGTCACAGGTGGTGAAGCTAATGCCAGGCTGCTATAAACTGCTGGAGGATGCAGAGGGGAGACAGGACAGTGGGGAGGTGGACAGTGCAGGACATGACCCTGGCTTCCTGCAGCTGGAGACCCCTCACTGAGCCTCCAGAACTCATGTATATACAGGGAAGACTAGCCAGATACAGCCAGCCCTCACCACCACCACCACCGCCACTGCCCCAGGATGGATGCTCACTGGGCCTCAGCTCTGGGGGACTGCCAGCTCCTCCCCTTTTACATCCTGGATCCCACAGCCTGAACCCCGATGGGGCAGTCCACACCTCAACTCCTGTTCCCACTGGGGAGCCCCTGGTTCCCAGCCTTAGAGTGGGGAAGTCCTCCAGCTGAAAACTCTGCAGAAGGCACACTCACCCCTGTTATGAAAGATTATCTTATTTTTAACTGTGTGTGTGTGTGTGTGTGTGTGTGTGTGTGTGTGTGTGTGTGTGTGTGTACACGGGGACCTATGAACCAAAAGGGGGCGTCAGGTCCCTGGAGTTGGAGTTAACAGCCTTCATGTCGGTGCTGGGAACCAAATTCTGGTCTTCTGAAAGAGCAGCCCATGCTCTAATCTCTGAGCCGTCTCTCTGGCTCCCCTATCATCTCAGGGTTCTCTTCATGTTCCCCCTATGTAATGTTTGCGTCCATCTACCTACACCAGGCCATGTGTGTTGAGGTGCACGCCGCGGTTCCAGGTGCAGGGAAAGGCTCCGGGTAGAGGGGGGACACGGTGGTGGGAAGAGGGGGACATGGGAGTGGCAAGAAGGGAACATGGTATTGGCCATAGCTCCGGGTGGCAGGTGGAGGAAAGCAGGCAAAGGCGCAGTGAGGAGCCACGGCAGGCTTTGGAACTCACCGAGGAGCAAGGCCATTCAGAGATGAGATTTGGCAAATCGGGCAGACGTGCTGTGTGGTGCAGATGGTGGAGGCCTGCCCTGAGAGGGAGGGGACAGAGGAGGAGTTGGTGGTTTCCAGAAGGTTCCAAAGGGACAACCTGCCAATCCGGGCAGCCCCCAAGCATTTCCCGGGACTCACGGTCTGTGGAGGCCCCGAAGACCAGGAGGTGCCAGGCACGCGGAGTGCCCGGGGGGCTTCGTCCCCATTTGTCCCCGACCTGCTCCAACACGTGTCGCGCGCCCCTTGCAGCCCGCGCGCACCCGGGCCATGCGCACGGGAATGCGCGGCGGGGACGCGCACGGCGGAGCCCGGGAGGCGGCGGTGGCGGCGGTGGCGGCGGCTCCAGGCGGCTCCGAGCGGCCCCCGCGCCCTGTCCGAGGCGGAGCCGCCCAGGTGAGTGACACCGCTGCAGTCCGGGGACGCCCCCGCGACTCCCCTCGCTCACTTCTCTCCAGCCTCTCTGCACCCCCGGGAAACTTTGGGGTTCTCTCCGCCTCCGGGAATGCAGAGTCGAGGGGGTTGAGGGGTGCATCTCCGGGAGCACCCTGGGGGACGCGAAATGGGGATGCGCACTGCGGCAGGGGGACACCCAGGATGGAGCCGCGGCTCGGCGCCCTGCGATCCCCTGCCAGCCAGTGCAGGGCGATGCACGCGAGGTGAATGGGGGGGGTCTGCACGCAGGACTCGCTCATATTTGGGGTCCCGATCCCGTGAGGAGGGACTGGAGTGCTAGGCAGACCCCCCCACTCTTCCGGCATGTGTCCTGGTAGCAGCCAGGGTTGTGGGGGGTCTGTCCATCCCATCCCAGAGGCCAGGCCTGTTGTCCCCTGGGTCCTGGGCCCTGGCCAGTGAGGCCACTGGGCCCCATTCAACAAGTTAAGAAACACACGCATTGGGTTCCAGTTGGCCACAGGTTCGTGTTCCCACCCCACCTTATGAGTGAGGTTTCCCAATGCCTGAGTTCCTAAGACACAGGTGTCCCTCCTCCCAATGGGGAGGACTCAGAACTTGGGGGTCTGATGCATTTGGGAACCTGTGTTGGTGCCAGGCAGCTTCTTGGGGGGCACTCAGGGCACAGGCCATGCCTGAGGCCCCCTCCCCTCTTATGCCTGCAGTTTGGTGGTGGGGAGGGCTGTTGGAACTTGGAATCTGGTGGGGACTTTTTAGCAAGAACAGGTATGTTAGGCTTGAGGGTAACCTGAGAGGGCTCCGTGGAGGAGGCATCCAGGAAACAAAGGTTGTAAGAAGGGTGTGAAGGGGTGAATGACAGGAGGTAGAGGGTAGCTCTGGCCTCTTCCCTTCCAGGCAGAAGCCCCTTCAATAATGTCAGGCAACCCCTGTCCGTCCCCGTCACACAGACACCCAAGTGAGGTGGGGTATACCGAGGAAGAAGGCATCCAGGATAGGGTGGGGAGCTAAGTGGGGGTCCCCTTAGCCTGCAAATTGCTCTTCTGTCCCTGGTTCCTTCCTATAATTGACACTCCATCAAGGCAACCACCTCCACCCCAGGATCAAACACCATGATGGGGTATCATCAGAGCCTGTGCAGCGTGCATGCGTGGCCAGCCTCAGTGTTTCCATCTGTAGAGTGGGGGTGGCTGCTGCTGCCATCCACCCCCAGATGCAGCTAGGCTGTGATCACACCTCGAAGGGTAGGAGCACACAAGGTCCCAAAGCTGAGGTTTTTGTGCCTCTACCCACAGGGCTGTCATTCCAGGGCACTCCTGAGTCACTATCGACTCACCAGGTAGGAAGCCTTTTAGCAGAACTTCCCCCGCAACCTTCAGGGCAGGGGTGTGGGCAGCCAGGGTGAGCCGCCCACCACCTCCCCTGTCAATCTTGAGAACACTGAAGAGTTGGGGTTTAGTAGAAACACAGCTGGGGTGACACTGGAATTCCAATGTCAGGTGAGTGATCTGGGGTTTACTCTGACCTCCAGTCTCCTTTTCCCTCTTCCCTGGAATGCTGCCATTTCTGCTCTCAGGGCGAGCAGGTGAGCAACAGTATACACTAGGGGCTCAAATGTTTACAAATTGAGAAGCTTCCTCTACTTTCTGCTGTGGTGGGTAGTGGGGAGTCCACTACTCCGCTCAGGCACAAGCTACTAAAGAAATTGGGTCAGGAGGCCCCCTGCCCTCTAAAACAGTGGACAGGGACCCATGGCAGATGGGAGGCTAATTAGAGCTTTAATGAATTGCCATGGATTAAAAGCCCCAGGAGGACCTAGATCTAGGACAAGAGAATGCACCAGCCCTAGAGGTGGGGGCTGGGAGAGCGTCCCCAGAAGTGCACTCAGAGAGGAGGGCGTTTGTGGAATGGTGCCTTGCCCCACTTCGTCCCTGTACTATTTTTGCTGTGGGGGCACCCATTGGTGATGGACAGGAGCCTGTCTCCCCCAACCATACAACTTCATCCCTTCCCAGGACAGGCCTCAGTGTCTTGTGGCCTACAAGGGGACTAGTTGCTAGGGAGACCCTCTGTCTCCCTTTGGACTGAACACTTGTCAAATTCCCCCCAGATTCTGTAGCCAGAGAGAGTTGGGGAGGAGAGGCCTCCACTTCCCAGGATGCTCTTGGGGGCCTCTAGCAGGTCCCCACAGCATGGTTTCGGCAGATGTCAGACCCCAGGGTGGGTCCTTCAGCAACAGGAAATAGTACCCAGCTGCCAGGCCACATACACTCCCTCCTCCAAATCATAGTGGCCCTAGTGATGTCACTCAAGCTGCTGGAAGAAGCCACAACATGCCACAGGAACACATGTCCTCCTCAGACCCAAGCAGATCTGAGGCTGGTCCAAAAAGCACTGATCCCCATTAGCCTCATTGTCCAGAGGCCCTGCATCCCTTGGCTCCTGCCCCCTTTCTCCCTGTGAGCCAGTGTCTTTCTGCTTGCCTTCCTCTGACAACTTTGAGGTGACCCTGGGTGTCAGTGAAACCAGGACAGTCCTCATTGGTGGGGTCTTGCCAACACAGGAAGTGGCCTGTCCCCAGGGCCAAGAATAGTACCAGGCAAACCCTAGGCATCCACTAAGTGCTTATTGAATGAGTGAGTTGGAGACTTACTCCTAACCTAGGTAGCACCCTGTGGAAATGTCTAGAAGCAAGCCAGCCCATGGAGAAGCTTCTAGGCTGAGTTTTCCTTCATACCTCAGCCCAGGAGTCCTGTTTGTCGTCCAGCAAAATGGGAAACTGAGTCTCTAAGAGAGATGAGCGTCTGCCCACAGAGGCATGGTTGAGCAGGTTCCTGGCCCTGGGCTCTGCATGTGCATATGTGAATATTCATGTGGCAGTTAGAACAACTGTTGGGGATCCCCTTCCACCAGGGGATCCCAAGTATGGAGCTCAGGTTGTCAAGTGTACTTCTGACCATACCATTCTCTTGCTATGTATTCCTCCACGGCGCTGGCCATCCCTGGCCCTGCAGCCTCAGACTCACCTCCTTCCAGAAAGTTTTCCAAACCTTCATCTGATTGGTTCAAATTTTTTCTGTCCATTCATCCTCAGTGAGCGACAGAGATGGGAGGCAGCCGGCCACCATATATGGAACTCCTCAATAGGATAGAAAATGTCGCAGATTTGTGGATTCCCAGGGACTGGAGAGGGAAAGGGATGACAGCTCATGGAGCTGGGGGTCCCTTTTGGAATGATGGAGGTTTGAGTTAGAGGTGTTTGTTATAGGTATTAAGAGGCTCTGGGGTTCTCGTGGAGACTGTGGGTTGGGAGAACAGTGACTGGGCAGGCTGGACCCTGCATAGCAGGGCCCAGGTTCCCAGGCCCAGGCAAGGCCACTGCAGTGATTCCTCATGCATATTAATGAGTTGTGTCCTTGAAGCCATAGGCTTGGCTCTTCCTTCCATGGATTCACAAGGGCTTGCCAGACCCCTAAAGTCCATCGAGGGCGCTCTCAAAGGTGGCATCAATGGTTCCACCATGGGATGGGGGTGGGACACAGGCCAGAAGTTTCCAGATTCTGGTCCATGAGGCAGCTGTCTGCTTCTATTATGTGGTGCAGAGCCTCAGAGGGGCCTTTGGGGACAAAACTGTCCCTTTGTTTATCCTTTATTTTTGCAGTTAGGAATGGAACCCAGTATCTCTCATGCTATACCAGTGTTCCACACCTGACCACACCCCCCAGGCTCGCAGTAGGGCATTCTAGGTGGGGCCCCACCCCTGAGCCACACTCCAGCCCTGTTTTCCTGTTTTACGGTTTTTTAATTTAATTTTTTTTTTTGTTTTTGTTTTTTGAGACAGGGTTTCTCTGTGTAGCCCTGGCTGTCCTAGAACTCACTCTGTAAGCCAGGCTGACCTTGAACGCACAGAGATACACCTACCTCTGCCTCCTGAGTGCTGGGATTAAAGGAATGCACCACCATGCTTGGCTAATTTCTTCCCCAGGTTTATTTATTTATTTTATATGTGCAGTATGTTACCTGCATGTCTGATGGCACCACATGTTGAGTGTCCCAAGAAACCAGAAGAGGGAGTTGGGTCCCTGCAAACAGTGACAAGGGGTTGAGTCCCCACATGGGTAGTGGGCCCTGAACCCAGCAGACCATCAGGAACTCTAATCACTGTGTTATTTCTCCAGCTCCTTTCACTTTTTTTATTTTGAGAGAGAGTCTTACTAAGTTACATGTTGTCCTGAAATTCACAATCCTCCTGCCTCAGCTTCTGGGGCACTGGGGTAACATAACGGGTGTGTGACACTGCTCCCAGTAGGTTTGGGATATCTTTTTATTTTTTGACAGAGCTGACAGCACCTGGTGGGGTGTCTGTGGGGGCTGAGCAAAGCACTCACTTTTCTGCCTGTGTCAGACAGAGGAACCAGGACAGCTGGGAGCTGCCAGGTGTGAGCCTGGGATTTGAAGAGCTATCTGGGAGACACCAGAGATGGACCTCTGTCCCTGGAGCAGAGTGGGATTGAGGGGAGTCCAGGGTGATTCACATAGGAGGACAAAAGATGACCATTTATCCAGTCCTATGGCCTCACACTTGTCAACACTTGGGAGACTGAGGCAGGGGGATTATGTCTCAGAATCCACAGAGATGGTTTCACGGGTGTCCCTCTCCGCAGGCCACAGAGGGTGAAAGGATTGGTGTCATCAGCCCAGGACCCCTACGCCCCCAGACCAAGTTCTCAGCACGAAGGAGATATGTTTGCCCCAGAGGGACAGAGGGCAGGGATAAGGGACACAGGAGATAGAGGACAGGAGAGGAGGGGAAGGGGACAAGGGAGACAGGGAAGTGCTATTTGTCCCAGAGGGACAAAGAGCTGCCTCTGGATAGAGATGAAACAGAGGTGGCTCACAGGAAAATGGCAGTTTATAAAGGTACAAGGAGAAACTCCGTGTTAGGATGAGGTGGTCTGTATTGACTGGGCATGTTAATTAGGTGAGCCAAAGTAGGGCTTTTGATTGCTGTTGATAGCTGGACCTTGATGGTCAGCCTCAGGAGGAGGAAGTGGCCAAGACCTTGGTGGCAAGCTTTGGAAATGTGATCTAAAGATTTAGCAAGGAAGGGGGAATGGGAGAGAAGGGCAAGGCCTGCCAGAGCCACGCTTGCCCTGCTCTGGAGGTGAAGAGAAGGGACAGAGAAACCAGCCCATCCAACTCTGTGCATCCCACAACCCCACTTCCCAGTGCCCACGAACCCCTCTCCCTGTCTTCATCAACACCAGGAACCTCATCCCAGTGTCCCAGTGGCAGGACTCCTGCCCCGAATTCCGGTTCCCCACATCATCAGAGACCAGGGATCTGGAGCTTTCTGCCACTACAGTATGCTCAGGGTTTCAGAGGCCCAAAGAGGGTTTGCTCTTGCCTGGGACATCCAGCATCCATCCCTGTCACCTGAGAGTAACCAGATGGGGATGTAGACTGAGGAACCTTGACTACCATCAAGCTCCTACCTCAGCCTCAGCAAATACCCAGAGAGAGCAAACACGTTCCTACGGGCACACAGTAATATGGGGAAGGGTCCAAGTTGGAGAGCTGAAAGTTGCTTCCGATAGCTGCCCACTCCCCTCCCCCATTTGTAGCTTTTCTAACACACCCTGCAGAGGAGATGACAGGGCCAGGCCTGCCAGGAGAGGTTAGAGTTGAAAAACTAGGTCACCTTTTGAGTGGCCCCTGCTGGGCTGGCTCAAGAACACTGCTGTCCCTGTGTGGAGGAGTAATTATAGAGAAAGTACTTGCCAGTGCCCTGAAGGCATCTGGTAGCTAAGTTCTGACAAGCCAGGACTAGAGAGGGTTCAGGGGCCATCAGGGACCGTGCAGGGAGGCTGTGGTTCAGTGGCAGTGACCAGAGAGACTCCAGATTGTCAGTTCATGGCGTTATCAGAACTGGAGTTTCTTTTACAGCCTAGATACTTGGAGGCAGAAACAAGGAGGAATAGGTGTTCAAGACCACCCACATAGATAGTTCCAGGCCACCCTGAGCTACCTGCTGTCCCATCTCAAAAAACAAACAAAAAAACAAAAAACAAAACCAAACCAAAAACACCAGTGAGGGCTCGGGTTCAAGGAGTGAGCACTTGTGTGGCTTGCAGAAGGCTGTGAGCCAGGTGATGGGGATGACGCAGTCATGAAGTGCTTGTGGCACAAGCCAGATCTGAGTTCAAGTCCCTACCACTCACTTGAGAAGCTAGCACTTCTCAGCACCCTAGGGATCCTGGCTGGACAGCCTAGCCCAATCAGCAGACTTTGGGTCCCACTGAGAGACCCTATCTCCAAAAGTGGAGAATGAATGCAAAAGACTGCATCCCACACTGGGCTCCCCATGTGTGAACACATACCATAGAAAGACAAGGGAAGGCAAGATTCTAGGCAGGGCTCCACCCTGACCACACCCCCAGCCCCTCACCGGGGGCTTCTCCTTTGCACCTGCACCTGTGCCTTCCAATCTCTTCCTCACATGCCTGGCATACTCGGTCATCAGCACTACCAGTCTGCTCTGTGGAACACTGAGAAGACAGGCAGGCTAGCACAGACTGAGAGGTCTTGACTGGGGGGCTTCAGCTGCTAACATGCTATAAATAGCTGCCTGGCAGATGGGAAGCCGTGGTGGAAAAGAGGCCAGGCAGTCCAGTCCAGCTGTCCCACCCCAATCCCAACCCCTGGGCCTGGGATAGTCAGGCTGCCTGGGAGAAACCCTGGTCCAGCTCACCATGTAGGCACTGCAGGAAGTCTCAGCATCTTTGGAGCTTTAGCCTCCCACCCACTCTGGCCTTCTATCCCTACCTGGAGTCAGGGCCTTTGCCCTGGCCTTTCCGACATTCTAGACTAGAATACCCACAACCACAGGTCATCAGCTGGGTGTCATGGAGGAAGGTGTCCTCTGTCACAATTCTGTACTCCAGAAAGCCAAACACAGGGTGTCCACTAGGCCTGGCATACTCAGTCATGGGCAGGGTCCTTCCTGTCTCTCTTAGGTTCTGAGGCTCGGGTATTACACAGCTCTGCCTCCATCTTTAAGGAGTTAGTCTTGGCTACATAATGAGATTGAAGCTAGCCTGGGCTACAAGAAAGCTTGTTTTTTGTTTTTTTAATCTCATCCACCTGTTCTGAGTGTTGTGTGGGATCCCACTGAGTTTTTTGTGAGCTTGTCTCACACTGAGCAGTGTCCCCTGTGACATCTCAGAGCTCCCTTTCATGGCTGAGGAATTAATACTTGTGTGGATGACCCATTCTGTGTTTCTGCTGTCTGTCAGTGGCCTGTGGGTTTCTGTCATGTATACTGTCACTATGGGTATCAGTTTAGAGATTTCCTGGGTGGGCTATCATGAGTCAGCATCTCTGGGTGTGGGCGTGGATAATGATGTCATGTTGCCCCTTCCCATTCCAGGTGTCCTGGACGATGCTGGAGTGGCCCTAGGCCCAGACCCTACACCATGACCTGCTGGCTGCCTGTGTTGGGCCTGCACCTGCTGCTGCTGCCCATGGTGCCTCCCCTGGCCGCTGGCTGCCCAGCGCGCTGTGAATGCTCTGCGTCCACCCGCACAGTGGCCTGTGGACGCCGCCGGCTGACCGCCATTCCCGAGGGCATTCCGGCTGAGACACGTCTGCTGGAGCTCAACCGCAACCGCATCCGCTGCTTGAACCCCGGGGACCTGGCGTCATTGCCCACCCTGGAGGAGTTGGACCTCAACCACAATGTGATCGCCCATGTGGAGCCTGGGGCCTTTGCCAACCTGCCTCGCCTGCGCATCCTGCGTCTCCGTGGCAACCAGCTGAAGCTCATTCCACCTGGTGTGTTTACGCACCTGGACAGCCTCACGCTGCTGGACCTGAGCGAGAACAAGCTGGTCATCCTGTTGGATTTCAGCTTCCAGGACCTGCGTAGCCTACGGAGGCTGGAGGTGGGTGACAATGACCTGGTGTTCATCTCCCGCAGGGCTTTTGCTGGGCTGCTGGGGCTGGCTGAGCTCACCCTGGAGCGCTGCAACCTCACGTCGCTGTCTCCCGAGTCGCTGGGCCACCTGCGGGGCCTGGGCACACTGCGTCTGCGCCACCTGGCCATCGCTGCGCTGGAGGATCAGAACTTCCAGAAGCTTCCAGGTCTCTCACATCTGGAGATCGACAACTGGCCGCTGCTGGAGGAGGTGGCCCCGGGCAGCCTTCGTGGGCTGAACCTCACATCGCTGTCCATCACACACACCAACATCACGGCTGTGCCGGCCGCTGCGCTGCGACAGCAGGCTCACCTCACATGCCTCAACCTGTCGCACAACCCCATCAGCACGGTGCCCAGGGGTTCATTCCGGGATCTGGTGCGCCTGCGTGAGCTGCACCTAGCTGGGGCCCTGCTGGCTGTCATAGAGCCCCAGGCCTTTGTGGGGCTGCGACAGATTCGCCTGCTCAACCTCTCGGACAACCTGTTGTCCACATTGGAGGAAAACACATTCCATTCGGTGAACACACTCGAGACGCTGCGCGTGGACGGCAACCCGCTGGCCTGCGACTGTCGCCTGCTGTGGATTGTGCAGAGGCGAAAGACCCTGAACTTTGACGGCAGGCTCCCCGCCTGTGCCAGCCCTGCCGAGGTGCGTGGTGATGCCCTGCACAACCTCCCGGACTCTGTGCTCTTTGAGTACTTTGTGTGTCGCAAGCCCAAGATCCGGGAAAGGCGGCTGCAACATGTGACTGCCACAGAGGGGGACGACGTGCGCTTTTTGTGTCGTGCTGAGGGCGAGCCCACGCCCACGGTGGCCTGGGTGACACCCCAGCACCAAATGGTGACAGCTGCCAGCCGGGGCCGGGCACGCGTGCTGCCTGGGGGTACATTGGCTGTCACAGACACGCGGCCCCAGGACAGTGGCACCTACACGTGCGTGGCCAGCAACGCCGGAGGTAATGACACGTATTTTGCCACCTTGACTGTCCAGCTGGCTGCCAACCGGACCCAGGGCGATGGGCACAACGAGACCCAGGTGGGGGTCCGGTTCCCACTGGACCTCACCACCATCTTGGTGTCTACTGCCATGGGGTGCATCACCTTCCTGGGCGTGGTCCTCTTCTGCTTCCTGCTGCTCTTTGTGTGGAGTCGCGGCCGTGGGCAGCACAAGAACAACTTCTCTGTAGAATATTCCTTCCGCAAGGTGGACGGTCCCGCAGCCACAGCGGGCCAGGGTGGCGCGCGCAAGTTTAACATGAAGATGATCTGAGCTAGCCCCATGGTGGGTTGGTGGGAGAACCTCTTGGACCTTCATCCAGTCCCAGATAATTTCCACCTATGCATATGTTTTACCCAGGGGCTAAGCATGGCGACTGTAAGCCAGCTCACAGGCAGAACTTCATTTTTGTAGACATCTACAGGACTGTTTTTGAGCAGATCACACCTTTTGCAGTTCCTGAAGTATTTTCTAACAGTTTCAACTTGTCTTTTCCCCCTCTGCTGTGGCTGCAGGGTTGGACTTAAAGTGGCTGGGGACACTCAGGGCCCAAGGTTCCCTAAGCAGGTGGCAAAAGCCCTGTGGCCTGAAAGTCCCTACTTAGCAGTCAGGTTCCCCAAATGCTTATGGTGGGAGGCACCTGGGGACACTGGACAGACACAGCACTTACAGTGGGTGCCTCTTCAGCTCACAGTGACACAATTGGGCATACACAGGGCCCAAGGCTGCAGGGACCTTGGGAGGACAGGGCATGCAGTGGCCTAGCTCCTATTCACTGCTACTCAACCAATGGTCAACGGGCTGGCCCCGGCCCTGCTGAGTGGCTAGAGTCACCGTGGGAGCCCCATTCCCCACCAGGAACTTCCAGCTGCCAGGAGAAGCCATGTCCCCGTCTCTTAGAGATCCCTCCGCCCTGCCTAGCTGAACTGGACATCTACTTTCTGGAGGAGTGGCTGCCCTGGGACCAGGAGTGCCTATAAACAGGCCAACCACATCCATTCTGCTGCTCTGCAGATGTCATTGCCCTGTGGCGGGCGCAGCAGGGGCTCCAACCTGGTAGCCTATCTAACCAGGTTCCTTCCCTGGCATCCACCTCTGCTCCTTCATTTAGGGCATTGTTGAAGGAAGGAACAATAGACTCTGGATATTCATTAAGAGTCTGCAGTCCTCTTAACCTGTCTAATTGTGACATCTGTGGTCCACTGGGCCCCTTGGTGTCTTCTTCCTATACAGAACATATCTGAGCTTATAGCCTATAAGCTGAGGCCAGGCCTCACAGAGCCCTCCTGACTCTATCTATATGGAAAGGCAGCTTCATGCAATCAAAGACTCAGACCAAGCTTGGTTGGTCTGAACTTGGCTGGGAACATGGGGACCTTTTGGTCCTGCCCTTCCCAACCTTTGCATCACACACAAACTGGTCAACAGGACACAAGTGACTGAGTGAAGCGGCATTTCCATACTCCATCCCTGAGCTGGATAGGACTGAACCCTTTGGTCCTGGAGCATCCTCTTAGGCCCTGTTGCTATGGTAACCCCTGGGGCCCCTCAAAACAACCATCAAAATCCAAGTGCCTTTAGAGTCATTAAGACAGGAGAGGTGCACTCCTGGCAGGGTTAGGGGTTACAATGTGTCAGTATGTTACATTGGGGTTCCCAATTTCCAAGCTCTATCCTTACCTGGCTGTGTTTGACTGAAATCCAATAAACTAATTTAATACAAAAGTCAGATTTACTATTGTTCCCAGAGTGATTGGGTCCTCCCTCAAAGTTGGGAAGGTAGGTGGCTCTGGCTGCAAGGGTGACCCAGGAGATAAATTGGAGGTGGTGTGGAGGCCAGGGAATGAGGATCAGGAGTTCAAGGTCAGCCTCAGGTATGTAACAAACTGGAGGCCTAGCTGTTTATAGACCTCAGAGCTGAGGCTGGGGCTCACCTAGCATGTTGGAAATCTTAATTTTACCTCACATCAGACACACAATGTCACCAGCAGCTGCGGGATGCACCTGTCATCTCATCAGGAGCTTCAAGAGCTCAAGGGCCGCTGGGCTAGAGAGAGAGATAGCTTCAAAATAAACAGGAAAGATTGGGAAAGTGTAGGTAGCCATGGCAGGATGTGGAAGACAGGAGATGGGAGACACCTTTACTGTGCAGAGGGGAGACAGTGGTTTTCAGGTGACTATACAGCAGGGCAGAACAGGGCTGGGAGAGTTCTCTAGCAGACAATCCACAAGCGCTGTAATCAGACAGAGGCACATGAGCCTCGGAGAAGGGAAGGCCCCAGGAGGGCTGCCTTGTAGGTAGTTCCCCCTAAAGTGGTCTCCAAAGCTCTTGGCTGAGACTCTAGCCTTTTTATAATTTATTCCTTATCTAGTGTTAACAGAACTACATATAGCCCAGGCTGGTCTCTAACTTAACATGTAGCTAAGAATGAACTTGTACCTCCTGCTCCTGAATGATAGGTTACAGGTGTAAACCGCCATGCCCATCTTTGCATTTCCCTTACCCTGCCCCAGGGCTTGTTCATATCAAGGTCTCACCTTCTGGCTTCTGTCTCAACATCCCATCCTCAAAGGTGAGGGGTGGCGCTGGAAAGGCCCCTGCCCCATCCTGGGCCTGGCCTGTCTTAACAATTGTCCTTGTATTCCTTTCCCCCTGGGTCTGACACTCCCTTGTCAAGAGCTACTGTAGGCCCCAGCTAGGGTTGGGGGCAGAGTTCTTGGGGATCAGGTCCTGTATGTAAAGGCTCATCTCTGTCCTCCTCATATCCTCTAGGCTGGACATAATCCCTGCCCCAGACATGGAGTGGGTGCTTCCCAGTGCCCTGAAAGATGACTGACAGTCCTATTTGCTAGGGGAGAAATAAGTCCAGGAAAGCAAGCAGCCCATGAGGACCACACAGCACCCTTAAAGCGGGGATCACAGAATTAAAGAGTTCAGGTATACCCTTCATCTCATTGAGCAAAAATTCCATCATTCACAAAAGGCAACTTACCTGTGCCATGGTCTGCCTACATGTGTCCCCAAATCCCCACATCAGCAATAGTAACTGTCACCTACAGGGGACTGCTAAAGTGCTCAGCCCTCAGCAGGGAACTCAAGAGCCTGGCTGGGAACAGAAGGCAACCTGGGCCTAGGAAGAAGCCACAACCCTGAGGCCCCATACACTTTACGGTCCAAACAAGAAAAAACCTATTCAACCTGTGGTCCAAGCCTGTTACTCCAGCTACTTGGGAGGATGAGGCAGGATTATTTCAAAGCCAACTTGTATGTTGTGAGATCCTACCTCAAAATAAAAGTAAAAATAGGCCTGGCTCAGGGGTGGATGCCCAGTGGGGGCTGAGGACATGGTCAGTGGCAAGAGATAATCCCCAGCACAGGCACTGGAGACAGCTCAGTGGTTGAAACACACATGGCTTTGCAGGATCTGACCAGCACCAATGTTACAATAGCTTGTAACTCCAGCTCCAGTGGATTCATTGACTCCTTCAGGCAACCCATATATGTAGCATGAATTAAAAATAAAAATAGCCAGACATTTACCTTTAAAAGTGCCATTTACCTTTAATCCCTGTACTTGAGAGGCAAAGGCAAGAGGATATTTGTGGCCGGCCAAGTACACAGTGAGATGCTGTCTTGGGAGGGAAGGAAATGAAATGGAGGGTCTCCTTATTGTGGAGGTCCCATGTCTGGCTGACATCACTGGATGGTCTCCTTGTTCTACCTGCTGTCAACCCTGACATATGAACATGCCCCCCTCCCCCCAAAACAGGTTTCTCTGTGTAGCTTTGTAGACCAGACTGACCTCGAACTCACTGAGATCCACCTGTCTACCTCCTGAGTGCTGCTGGGATTAAAGACACATGAACTATTTTATTTATCTGAGTAAAGCTACTGATATGCAAGCACACATTTTGGGAAAGTGACACTGTGAGCGTGTGGTTGGAAGTGTCTGTCTCCCCAACCCAGGGGGCTGGAGAGGCTCATGACACTTCTGCTACTGAGGCTATCTTCAGCCTTTTGCTTTAGTCTGGCTGTGCAGACCAGGTTGACTTGTAACTGCAATCTTCCTGCCCTAGCCCTCCTGGCACTAGGAGGGTGTGCAAGACCTTCTTTACTAGAGAGGCCATGGTCAGGGAGATGGCCACAAGGAAAATGGGAGCCTGGAGCCTTGACCTCTCCCTCAAGGCCTGGGCTATCAGGTCCTCACCTGGTAATGCCCCACTCACCCCATCCCACCTCCCTTAGGATATGTATGGGTGGTGGCAAATGTGTAGGTCACCCTGATACCAGAATCTCTATGACTGGTAGCTCTCACAGCTAAGTTCCTGAGGCCCTGAACCCTCAAGAAACTGCTCTTGATGGCTCATTGGGATCATGTAGCCTCCAAGACCACTATAGAGTGTCTGTCATTAGCTGAGGGTAGACATGTCTGTGACTAAACAGCATGTGTAACCCCACAGTACCTCCATGTGCCCAGGAGCACAAGACACTCCAAGGGTGGAATTTAGAACTGCCTGGCCACTGCCAAGGCCTAATCTTAGCCTTCTTCCGTGTAACCACCACACAAATCCCACCTGTGACTAAGTTCTCCTGGTCTATCCATGGGGCCCCTCAAGACTAAGCTCTGTGAGAGAAGAGGCTTGTACACAGTAGGCTCTTGGTGACTTAAAATGACACTAATCTCAACTCAGGGCCCTTCTTGGACACATAGCTTAACCCTGTGCACTAGTCTCACAGACACAGCAATAGCCAGAGGCCCTTTTCTGCTTAGCTACCACTCATATTCATCCTTGCTGGACCCTCTAACCTACTGCAAGCAATAATGCTGTACCTTAACTCCTATGTCCTACCTATAATCCATCTCCAACTCACACCACTCCAGTGGCAAGAGTATGTACATCTACACCCCAAAGCTCAACATACACCTCCTGTCCAGCCAGCCTGTGCCCCAAACACCACTGTCCAAGACAACCCAGCCCCACCACCCACTTATGCAGTGGCTCAGCAGTTGCCTGAAGGCCACAGCTGCAAAATCCCAGAACCCTCCCTGGTTCTGAGCCACAGCTGCCAGAAGCCCAACCCAGTCCCAGGGGCAGGACACAGACACAAGAAAGTGAGCGAGATCACTTTATTGGGTTTGAGCCAGGGGAGGTGACACTCTCTATCTCTGCCAGATTTCAAAGGAGGCTGCTCTAGCACAGGTCACCTGACCATCTTAAACAGCAATAAAAAAAGTAAAATAGAAACCTTTATTTAGAATTAAAGCCAACACTTGAGTGTGACGAACACAGCATTCAGCTCGAAGAAGCACCCCGCTAATGGAGTGAGCGTTTATTCTGCACAATCACAACATGTGGCCAAACCCAGGAGAGGGCACAGGGACACTGGGCAGGGCCGGGCACCTAGTCCTCCTCGCCCGGATCCTCTCTCTCCAGCGTGTAGACCATGAAGCAAGCATCGGGTCTCTTGGGGACGAGG